GTACCAACAAAACAAAAAGACAACCCACCAACTGGGAGAAAACATCTGTAGATCATACACCTAACAAGGGGTTAATTTCCAAAAAATATAAAGAACACATACAACTCAACAATAAAAAAATGAACAACTCAATCAAAAAATGGGCAGAGGATATGAACAGAGGATATACAGATGGCCAACAGGCACCTGAAAAGATGTTCCATCCACATCATTAATTATTAGGGAAATGCAAGTCAAAGCTACAATGAGATATCACCTCACATTCATCAGAATGGCTGTAATTAACAAGACAAGAAATAATAAGTGTTGGAGAGGATGTGGAGAAAAGGGAGCCCTTATATACTGCTGGTAGGAATGCAAACTGATGAAGCCACTATGGAAAACAGTAGAGATATCTCAAAAAATTAAAAATAGAAATATTATATGATCCAGCTATCCCACTTCTGGGTATTTACCCAAAAAATCATGAAAATCAACAACTCAAAGTGATTTATGCATCCCTATGTTCAACACAGCATTATTATTCACAATAGCCAAGACATGGAAGCAACACAAGTGCCCATCAACAGATGAAAGGATGAAGAAGATGTGGTATATATATATATATATACAATGGGATACTACTCAGCCATACAAAAAACAAGATACAGTCATTTGTGACAACATAGATAGACCATGAGGGTATTAGGCTAAGTGAAATATGTCACACAGAGAAAGACAAATAACATATCATTTCACTCATATGTGGAAGGTAAACAAATACATAAATAAGGAGAACAGATTAGTGGTTACCAGAGGAGAAGGGGGTGAGGGGAGGATGAAAGGGATAAAGGGGCACACATGTATGGTGACTGATAAAAAAGCAGACTATTAGTGGTGAACATGATGCAGTCTATACAGAAACTGAAATATAATAATGTACACCTGAAATTTACATAATGTTATAAGCCAGTATGACCTCGATAAAATTATGAAAAATCAAATTCTTGTCCTCAAGTAACTTTTATTCTAGTACACGTGTGGGAAGGAGCCAATAGTAAACAAACAAATACATGAGAAGATTCTAGATACTGATAAACATTATGTAGAAAATAAAGCAAGGTAGCGAGTGAGAGAGTGACTAGGTAAGGTTTGACAAGGAAGTGTGGGGACCATAAGGAGCTGTAGATGCAAGACCTTGTATTGAGCTTGGTCTTGAATCTCAGCAGACAAGAAAGATGGCCATGGTGGTGGCAGTGTTGGGGCACGTTGAGATGTTGAGTGGTACAACCAACGCCATGGTTTTAGAAGTTTCCTCTGACACTGGTCTGTAAGTAGGATACTCGGAAAAGAGTAAAGCCATAGAAGCCAATAAATTGGTTAGGAGATTGTTGTAACTATCAAGAAAAAAGATAATAAACTTCTGAACTAGGTGGTGGCAGTAGGAATGGAAAAGAGGGACTGCAAATGAGGAATGTAGAGCAGAACTTCCTTAATCTTTAGATTTAACATAGGATTAAAAAATAAAACCTTGTGTGAGTTAGCCACATGAGGATGTTAAAACAAATTAAACACTACAGTCACTCTACTTTATGAAAATAAGGCCATTTTAACACAAGAAAAGGTAGAAGAACATAATCTCAGAACAAAGGGGAGTCCTCTAGGTTGATAAGTTTTAATTTTGTGTATAACTAATTGGACTGTCTTATTTTTCTCTTTGCATCACAGACCAGTAACCACTATATACAGGTCCAATATTGTCCTAAGACCAGCATCTATAACCTGTGGGTTTCAGGCTTACCTGAAAATGTGATGGGCTATGAGGCGAGAAGAAAAAAGTAGTGTAAAAGATCACTCCAAAGTTTTGTACTTGGATGAACAGGTATTTGAGAGGACCATTAATAAAAATTAGGAAGAAGAGGAGGTAGGTTTGAATTAAGAATAATATATTTGGATTGAAATCCGATAAATTTAAGATGTTAGAGGCACATCCTTGATAAGATCTTTGGTGAATAATTGTAGGCCTAGTATTGAGGTTAAGGTTAAGAATCAGAACCACAAACGTAGCTTTTGGAATTGTTCAAATGAAAATAACTGAAGCCATTGGAGTGGGCATAATCTCCAAGGGAGAAAGGAGGAAGGAGAGGGGATTAAAGACAAAACATTGGAGAAATTTAACAGGTAGAAATTAGACAGAATTCAACGGAAAGAGGAATTCCAAAATAGTCAAGAAGATCAATAAAGCACAGCAGCCAGGTTCAAAGAATGAATTGATTGTAAGAAAATTGAGGCCAAAACTATAGACATTATCTTTCTAAAGGTAAAAGGAAGGACTGAAGATATTTCATGTTAGTAAGATATTTCATGTTTGTTAGAATGATGGAGATCCGAACACATTTATAGGGAGGGGAGAAATTCATGATACATGACGAAAAAGTAATTGAAGCAATAAAATGCCAAGGGAACCTTGGTGGGGATGTCGAGGAAGACATTTTGAAAGTAAAAGGGATCACTCTGTTCCTTAGAGAAGGAAGGAGGATTTCAGGGATAAAGGCACTGAGACATCAAAGCAACAAGAATAGGAAGGTCAAAAGTGAAAAGGCAGGAAAGAAGCCCTCATAGATGACTCCAACCTCTTGCTATAAGAGATGAGGAAGAAATAGGATTATAAAGAGCAATAACATTTTGTGGTTGTCCCCGCAGGAGTTAAGGTAACAAGCTGAAAAAACATAACTAAGAAAGAGTGAGGGGTTAACTGGCTTTAGATAGAGTATTTATTATGGATCAAATCTGCACCAGGTTGTAAATTTCTTGAGCTACTATTGGCTGCTGGGGAGTAGGAAAAGAGAAAGCAAGAGTCAGAGGTTAGCACTAGAAGTAGGAAGAAAAGTCAAGGATATGAAGTGTCCAGAGTTTTAGAGAAAGAAGCATTGATAGGGTCATGTCAGGATCAGAAGTGAATGGGACAACTGGGAAATTAGCAATATGTTGGGGGATAACAAGTCACAATGAGAGAGTAGAACATGCTCACGAGATTCCCACAAGGGGCCTTTATTGCAATTGGAAGAGAAGAGGCCTAAAATTTTCTCATCAACTATGTGCATGATCATTATGGTTAATAAGACACACAAAGTCCCTGCCCTTTTGGAGTTATATGCTACTAGTAAGGGCAAAAGGCAAGAAGAGACAAATAATAAAAATTAAAAGGGGAAAATATCAGGTGGTATAGATGAATTAAATATAGTGATGTGATTACAAGTGGTTATGGTTACCATACATTGAATGGAAAAAGAAGGTCTCTGAGGAAAGAACATGTAAGCCAAGGTCTGAATGACTAGACGGAGGCAGCCACGTGACAAGAGTTCACAAGAAAGATTTACGTTCAGGGAATAAACATAAGGAAGAGAAGCCTCAAGGATAACTCCAGAATGTTTTGCTTAAATAACAGGTGACTCTTTTTTCTGAGATGGGGAAGACTACAGAGCTGTAGGTTTTGAAGGGTGTGAGCAGTGGTAGAAAATTAAGAATTCTCTTTTGGCACATTAAGTTTAATCGTGGTCCTGAAAGTGGATGAGTTCTAAGCATGAAGAAAGCATGAATGAAGGCCAAAAGAAGATTTGAAGGTCAACCAGTATTAAGAGTAAAGAGCCTCAGGTTGCAATATGGGTTCTAAACATTACCCTTGTTCAAGACTCTTGAGGTTATTAGAGCCAAGGGCCGGATTTTGGTTTAGGAAGAAAAACTTGAAGAAGGAAGTGAAATTGTAAGGAATAAGGCAAGTTTTCTTGACGACATCCTAAAGGCTAGTGTATGATGGGGAAAAGGATATGGATATATATACGTATATATGGATATATGGATATTAATGTATATGTATGTATATATATGAAAAGCATTTGAAAACAGTAGTTCATGGAGACTAAATATATTTACTTGGTAATAATTAAAATAATATTTTAGCAATTGAGCAAAGATGCTCTTTAACATAGAATCCATAAAATGTAAGGCAGTGAGCAATCTTGTAATATTATTGTCTCATTGAATATAGCAATCTACGGAGGCAGATTATTAAGAGATCTATCCAGGATATATTAGTAGTAATGGTAGCAGAGAGGGATCTCAGAAAATCCAACTTTGAGCTTGCAATTCTTATAAGTTCAACATTTCTTCTTTTTTTCTGCATCTACTTGTGTGTGTGTTTGTGTGTGTGTGTGTGTGTTCTCAGTACAGTTTTTGGTTACTATTTCTCTAAGCAAACATGTGATTCTAATGAAATTTGCTGAATTTCAAGCAGCCACACGTGTATGAAAGCTGCCCAAGTTGGATATTTGTGGAATGCTGATTTTCCATACATATCAACGTTTGGTAATTATCATCAGAACTATTCATGCAAGTTTAAAAGTGGAAATAAAATTAAGAGAGATTCAACAAAGACCTCAGATGACCTACTGGGTAACCCTTAGCGGTAATCAGTCCTTTCAATGAATGCATAGCCATCGAGCCCTACATGACTAGGCACTCTCCTTAGCTCGGCATCTCCCAGATATCTTTGTAACAGAAATATCGGCCATTTTTTCTTTAAAACCCCACACATCAGCAAAGTGGCACCTCACTAACTGGCGAACTACAAGAAAATTGCAGTAGGTATGCTTCAAAATTGACATATGTCTGCATTTGTATCCTTTCCTAATTTTGTGAGTTTCCCAAGGCCTGTTCCTTCCTATATATTTTTTCTCTCTCAAAGGCTTAGCATATAGGTTTTAAATATTAATACCATTGGCAAATATATTAGTTATTGGTTTCTGTGTAACAAGTCACCCCAAAATCTGGCTGCTGAAAACAACAAACACTTTTTTCTTGTGGGTTTCCGTGAGTTGGGAATCTGGAAGAGTCTTAGTCACATGGTTTGTGACACAAGGTCTGTCACAAGCCTGCAACCGAAGCATTGGCAGGGACTGCATCTCAAGACTCGACTCTGGGAGGACCCACTTCCAAGATGGCACACATGGCTGTTGGCAGACCTCAGTTCCTCGCCATGTGGGCCTCGCCACAGGTTGCTCACCACGTGGTAGCTGGTTTCTCTAAGGTGAAGTGATCCGGCAGAGATGAAAAAGAACCTAAAATGGAAGCCACAGTTAATTTATAATCTAATCTTGGAAGTGATCCAACACTGAAGGGAAAGAGAGTGCACAAGGGTTTGAATATCAAGAAGGGGCCATTGGGAACCATTTTATAGACTGCCAACCATAGACAGTGAGTTACATTAGCTTCATGCTGCAGATGGAGGAAAGTGATGTCTGTGAGGATTTTAATTTGTCCAAATCCATGCCTTTCACGAGTGGAGTAAAAATCATTGTAAAAATTTTCAAAAGGTAGATCTGATAAAGGACTGTTATCCAAAATATATAAAGAACTCTTAAGATGAACAATAAGAAAACAAACAACCCAACTGAAAAATAGGCCAAAGATCTCAACCAAAGAAGATATGCAGATGACAAATAAGCATATGAAGAAGCTCCACATCAATGTCATCAGGGAAACGCAAATTAAAACAATAATAAGCTGTTATGTACCTACTAGAATGGCCACAATTCAGAACACTGAAAACACAAAACGCTGGTGAGGATGTGCAGCAACAGGAGCTCTCATTCATTGCTGGTGGGAATGCAAAATGGGACAGCCACTTGGAAGACTGTCAGTTTCTTACAAAACCAAAAGTTCTCTGAGGCTATGATCTAGCAGTCATGCTCCTTGGTATTTACCCAAAGGAGCTGAAAACTTATGAAACTTACATCCACACAAAAACCTGCACATGGATGTATATAGAGGCTTTATTCACAATTGCCAGAAGTTGGAAGCAACCAAGATATCCTTCAGTAAGTGAATGGGTAAATAAACTTGTACATTAGACAATAGAACATTACTCATTACTGGAAAGAAATGAGCTATCAAGCCATGAGAAAGCATTAGGAACTTTAGCTGTATGTTACTAAGTGAAAGAAGCCAATCTGAAAAGGCTACGTACTGTATGATTCCAACTATATGACATCTGGAAAAGGCAAAACTATGGGCACAGTCAAAAGATCAGTGGTTGCCAGGGGTAAGTGGGGAGGGAGAGATGAGTTAGGTGCAGCATAGAGGATTTTTAAGGCAGTGAAAATACTCTCTATGATACTATAATGATGGATACATGTCATTATACATTTATCTAAACCCATACACTGTACAACACTGAGAGTGAACTCTATTGAACTGTGGACTTTGGGTGATAATGATGTGTCATTGTGGATTCATCAGTTGTAACAAATATACCACTCTTGTGGGGAATGTTGATAATGGAGGAGTTTATGTATGTGTGGAGGCAGGGAGTATATGGAAAATCTCTGTAGCCTCTTCTTAATTTTGCTTTGAACCTAAACTGCTCTAAAAAATAGTCCTTAAAAAAACAGACATCCAAAGCAAATTAATAATAATAATAATAATGATAATAATGTAAATGCAGATTAGACTGATTCCAAAAAACCCATACTTTTTCTAACATATCAAGCTAAAATATGATAGCATTATATTGATAATTATACATAAAACTGTATTTTAAATTATTAAAAGTTTATGAAAATAGCTTAACAGTCTACCTCTCTAGATTTTTATTTATCTAATAAATATTTGACAAGCTACCCACTCTGTGCCATGTGCTGTTATGTCTACTGTCAATCAAAGGTGATTAAACAAAGTCTCCACCTTAGAGGAGTTTGTAATTCAATGGGGGAAAACAAACGTATGACCAAATAATAGCAATACAAACAGATTTATAAAACACAGAACACGGGACCCAGAAAAAGGAGAGAATAATCACTTTAAATTTCACATGGACGTGACATTTGAGATGGGGAATTGGACCTTAATAGATAAGTAAGAGCCAAGGAGGAAAGGTGGAGGTGACTGATATTTCAGGTAGAGAGAAGAGCATGCTGAAAAAATATATTCTCAGGATTGCTTAGTGGTTTAAAAGCAGAGAGTGTTTTACAACCACTCCTTATTAACTCTGTAACCTTGGGAAAGTTTTCAACCTCTATGACTCAGCTTTTTCATCTTTAAGTTGGAGTATAGGAACAAAACCTGCCTCATGGTATTATTGTAAAGGTAAACGAGACTATAAAGAGCTTAGGATAGTGTCTGGTACATAAAAGCCCCTAAAATGTGTTTGCTGTCAGGACCTGAAAGGTCATGACTTTTTGGCATGGTACTTTGGGAGATGTATTATCACAGAAATTTGATGAGAAAATTGATCTCCAGTTGTGGAATTTCAAGTATCTTTTCAGGACTTTTGTTAAAAATTTTAGACTGAGAAGATGTAGGAATACCTCTGACTCTGTTCCAAAGCCATAGGACTTCCAGAGGTATATTTTTCTAACTTTTAAATATACAACATAACCAAACTCAAAAGCAAGAAATGGAAAATTTTTTGTGCCAGAAAAGAACAAATCCATTGTGATAATGATGAAAAGAAGCTGGAGCTAAACACCCAATGAGATATCAGTCTGATTGAAAGTTAACAAAGCTAGAGATTAAATACCCACATGGAGAGCTGACATCACAGATCTCGTGGCAAAGATTCTGAATTTGGCTCTCTGAATAAAGCCAGGAGAAGGTAAAACATTGGCCGTCTATAAACTGAGACTGGAAAATCCTTAAGATGACTGAAATCTAAGCTTAGAAGCAAGCCACTCATTCCAGGTTATACACAGAAATAGAATCACTCGTGAGAAATCAGAATCTGTTTTCTGTGCCATGAGAAGATTTCAGGTACCAGTTCACAAAAAATATTGAGGTGGGAAAAGTCTGAGATGAGAAACTGACCTAAATACTGGTCCAGTTCTCATGAAATACAAAGGACCCAGGTAGAGGAAGCTATAAAACTGTCACATAAAGGCTATTGACAAATTGGGCATAGAAGAAACATACCTCAACATGTGAAAGGCCATATATGACAAATCCACAGCTAACTTCATACAAAACACTGGAAAGCTGAAAGCTTCTCTAAAATCAGGAACAAGACAAGAGTGCTCACTTTCAATACTTCCATTCAATATTGCCCTGGAAATCCTAGTCAGAGCAATTAGGCAGGAAAAAGAAATAAAATGCATCCAAATCAGAAAGGAAGATGCAAAATTGTCTCTGTTTGCAGATGACATGAACTTATATAGAGAAAACTCTAAAGAATCCATCAAAAAACTGGTAGAACCAATAAATAATTCAGTAAAGTTGCAGAATACAAAATCAACATACAAAAATTAATTGCGTTTCTTTACACTAACAACAAAATATCTGAAAGAAAAATAAACAGTTTCATTTACAATAGCATCAAAAAGAATAAAGTACTCAGGAAAAATTTAATCTAAAAAGTGAGGCAAAAGATCTGTATGCTGAAAATTAGAAGACATTGATAAAGGAAATTGAAGAAGAGACAAATAAATAGAAAGATATCCCATATTCATGGGTCAGAAAAATGAATATTGTTAAAATGTCCATATTACCCAAAGCCATCTATAGATTCAATGCAAACCTTATCAAAATTCCAATGGCGTTTTTTACAGAAACAGAAAAACAAATCCTTAAATTCATATGGAACCACAAAAGACCCCAAATAGTCAAAGCAATCTTGAGAAAGAAGAAAGCCAGAGGCATCACACTTCCTGATTTCAAACTATATTACAAACCTGTCGTAATCAAAACAGTATAGTACTGGCATAAAAACAGACATATAGACCAATGGAATAGAATCAAGAGCCCAGAAATAATACATATACAGTTAACTAATATTTAACGAGGGAGCCAAGAGTACTCAATGGGGAAAAGATTGTCTTTGCAATAAATGGTGTTAGGAAAACTGAACATTCACATGCAAAAGAATAAAATTGGATGCCTACCTTAAACCACTGACAAAAATTGATTTTAAATGTATGGAAGACTTAGATGTAAGACATGACATTGCAAAACTCCTAGAAGTAAATAAGGGAAAATCTCCTTGATATTGATATTGGCAATAAATTTTTGGGTGTGACACCAAAAGCACAAGCAATAAAAACATAAATAAACAAGTGGGAGTACATCAAACTAAAAATCTTCTGCACAACAAAAGAAACAGTTAACAGAAGGAAGAGGAAACATACAGAAGCGGGGAAAATATTTGCAATCATACCATATATCTGATAAGGGGTTAATATCTAAAATATACAAGGAACTCATACAACTCACTGGAATAAAAATGCCAACTAAAAAATGGGCAAAGCACTTAATTAAATATTTTTCCAAGAAGACATACAAATGGCCAAGAGGTACATGAAAATGTGTGGAACATCGTTAATTATTACAGAAATGCAAATCGAAGTCAAAATGAGATGTCAAGTCACATCTGTTAGGATGGCTATTATCAAAAAGACAAGAGATAACCAATTGCTGGTAAGAATGTGGAGAAAAGAGAACCCTTGTACACTATTGCGGGAAAGGTAAATTTGTACAGCCATTATGGAAAACAGTATGGAAGTTCCTCAAAAAATTAAAAATAGAACTATCATTTGATCCAACAATCTCACTTCCGGGTACACATGCAAAGGAAATAAAATCAGGATCTCAAAGAGGTATCTGCACTCTCATATTCACTGAAGCATTATTAACAATAGTCAAACTTGAGAAACAACCTAAGCGTCCATCAATGGAGGAATGGATAAGGAAAATATTCTATATATGTGTATATATACATACACCTATACATACAGATAATGGAATATTTTTCAACCACAAAAAAGAAGTAAATCTGCCATTTACAGCAACATGGATGGACTTGAGCATTATGCTAAGTGAAATGTCAGACAGACAAATACTATATGATATCACTTATATGTGGAATCTAAAAAAAAGTCAAACATAGAAACAGAGAGTAGAATGGTGGTTGCCAGTGGCAAAGGGGTGGGGGAAGTAGGGAGATGTTGGTTAAAGAGTACAAATGTCCAATTATAAGATGAGTAAGTTCTGGGGATCTAGTACAGCACAATGACTATAGTTAACAATACTGTATTGTATACTTGAAAGCTGCTAAGAGAGTAGGTCTTAAATGTTCTCACAGACACCAAAAAATGGTAATTATGTAAGATCATGGGTGTATTAACTAACCTTATTGTGGTAATTATTTCACAATATGTACATGTATCAAATCAACACATTGTACACTTGAAATTTACTCAATGTCTTATGTCAATTAAATCTCAATAAAGCTGGGGAAAAAAAACTATTCCATAGGGATTCATCACAATCTGTTATTCTGCATGACTTATGGAAAATGGCGTCAATACAAGATAAATGGGTGAAAATCTTTAACACGTACAGGGAAATCTAACACAGTTGATTTTTCATATTCACCATAGTTATGTTTTTATAAAGTTGCCACAAACACTGAAATAGTGAATATTGAATCATTGCCCCTAGGGGAAATGCAGAGGTTCCTGTACGCTTCTGGTCATGTTTGTGCCAACTGATCAATTGATAACCTTGTTTTATGTGTGTTTATGCTTAAAGACACTTTATTGAATATATATTGTTAATTCCTTGACATTGAGCTCATAGCCTACAGCACTATAACTCATCATTGAAAGAAGCTTATCTACATGTAAATTTTCTCCATAAGGCACATCACAGCTTTCTTGCACTTAGGAACACTAGACTGCACTTCAGCACACACTGGGGACCATGTTAAACAAAGAAATCACTAACAAAAAGTACAAAAATGCAAAAAATGTGCCACTAAATATACTTAGAAAAGAACACTTGTCTACAGTATGGAAGCTGAAACAAGAAGACAGAATGTCATTTTGTTCGACCTCAGCTGGGAACACGCATGCTGGGAAACTCAAAATTTTTGCTGTCCTTTGCTTGTGCATGTTTGCAAATGACTAAAAAATTGCCTCAGTATTGATTTGGGAGTTACAAATAAATTTTAGCAAATAGTTGAATTCACAAATACAGAATCTGCAAATAATAAGGACTGATTGTACTTAAAAATACAGCCTACTGATCCAATAAAAAGAATAATTTATATTCAAAGGCCTAGAGATATGAAATTTTACAATAAGCTTAAAAATAAAGGAAAAAACAGAATTCACAAGATAATAAAAAGGAATAAATTGATATTAAAAGAACCAGAAAAGATATTAAATTTGAAAAATGTTGTCATTGAAGATAAAAACTCAATAGATGGGTTAGAAAAATAGAAAAAAAGAATTATAGATAGTAAAAATGAGAGTTAAAAGACAGACTTCAGAAAACCATTCAAAATGCACAAAAAAATTTAAAAATAAAATAGAAGTTAATAAATATGTAGTATAGAAGATCCAGCATTATTGTTAGACATTCCGAAAAGAGGATGGTACAGACATGGAGGAAGAGGCAACATTTGAAAAGACAATTGAAGAAAGTCATGAGTACTTACATTTAAAAAGTGCACAAACATAGAGCCAAATTTAAAAAATATCTACCACCCACATTGTAATAAAATGGAAGAATATCAAGTATAAATAAAATATTAAAAGTTACCATGGAGAATGGGGCCAACCCAGTGGCATAGTGGTTAAGTTTGCAAGCTCTGCTTTAGTGCCTGGAGTTGGTGGGTTCCAATCCCAGGTGTGGACTTACACACTACTCATCAAGCCATGCTGTGGCAGCATCCCACATACAAAAGAGAGGAAAGTTTTCATGGATGTTAGCTCAGGGCCAATCTTCTTTACCAAAAACAAACAAACAAAAACCAATTACCATGGGGAAAAATAAATATTAACTATAAGGGAAAAACTTAAAGCTTCTCATAAAAATCTCTGGCAAATATAAGAAAAGGAAATATTATATTTAAGATGTAAATAGCTGTAAACTAAAATTCACCACCTAGCTAATCCACTCTTCAAGGATGAGGAAAAAATAAAGACTCATAATGGTTCAGTGAAAGAACTACTAAAAGTCATATTTCAGCAAGAAGAAAATAAGTCGAAAAGAAAAAAATGGACTGCGTGTAAACAGAAACATTGGTAAAATATTTAATTAAAATAGTGTGGAACCTGAAAAATAATTGTTAGTGTTTAAAATCAGGATAGGACTAAAATACTAGACAGATATAACTTCCAAATGCAAAGAGACGGTTTTTAAAAAATGGTAATGTACTCTAAGGTCATTATCTTTAAGGGGAAGGGAAGAAATAATTTATTTTTGTTAGAAGAACTATGATATCTGAATGTTAACTTTTTAAACTCCAACAGAATAGGAACTGAGCACAGATCTTCCAAATCAGTAAAGGGAAAAAAAGAAATAAAGAAAACCCTATTAGACTTTCAGCCAAGATGTAGTATCATTACATAATCTGAGGAGACTCTTATGTTGCTAACACTTAGCAATGATAAATAAAACTAAAATAACAAGAAAGAGAGAAAACAGAATAAACATCTTTAAATAGGACCTAGAATTTAATAAGAACATAAATCAGTGAGCAGTGAGTGGGGCTGAAGTCTTGAGCCTGTTGGATCTGATAGCATGGGGGTGGGGTAGGAAACATTTTCCACCTTTTTTTAAGCTCATTTGGCACATCGGAGATTATAACTGCTCCATACATTGTGGGTGCCAGAACCTTGCTTATAATTTGACTTGAGGGACAGAGACCAAACGCACAAAATCAGAATGAATAAAAGTAGTGGCTCCATCTGTTGCTTTTGACTTAACCGTAGAGATGGGTATGGCAGTCACTATCTTTGAACCAGAAACAGAGCTGAGTTGCCCACTGGCTCACTGATTAGGTTGGAAAGTTCATTGATATCATGGTGGAGCAGAGGGTACAGACTGATGATATAAGATCTAGCTCTTGAGAGGGATTCCAAGGGACTGCATGAACTTAAACCTCAAGCTGCTAGACAAGAATATGCTAGATGAGGAAAAATATGAAGCATGCTAATTTTTGCTATGTTCAGGGGAGGATATACATATCAAAAAATAATAGCTTTCTTGGGGGCTGGCCTGGTAGCTCAGCGGTTAAGTTTGCATGCTCTGCTTCAGCAGCCTGGTTTGCCAGTTTGGATCCTGGGCACAGACCTACACACCACTTATCAAGCCATGCTGTGGCAGGCTTCTCACATAAAAAATAAAGGAAGATGGGCATGGATGTTAGCTCAGGGCCAATCTTCCTCAGCAAAAAGAGGAATATCAGCACCAGATGTTAGCTCAGGGCTAATCTTCCTCAAAAAAAAAAATAACAAAATAGTAATAATAACTTGCTAAAGAAATGTATAGCTGAATACGTAAGTTAAAAGTTTAAGGATAAATTTTCACTTACAGGCAAGATGGAGTAATTTATGGCAAAGTAATGTTTTTAATAAATTATAACTAGAGAAGCCAAATTAAAAAAAATGTTTAAAGACACCAGGGAGCTGTGGATGTAGCAAAGCTGAGAGGGAAGAAGATTCTAGAGAGGAGGGAAGAAGATTCTAGAGAAGAGAGAATTGTACGACGGCAGCTGCTTGTTTTGGAAAATATTTCCTGATTCTGATGCAGATAAATTTATTGTTTATCTGAAATTCGAATTTAATTGGGTGTTCTGTATTTTACCTGGCGACTCTAAGCTTGACTCAGAGAAGAGAGATATTCCTGGAGACAGAGTAATGGCTGGAGTAACAAAATGGAACACTTGAGGAGCCTAAAACACACATCTAGTCTACTCCTTGGTATATTTCCTGAATCGTAAAGCTGTATGGGGTGGGAGGCTACAGAGCTAAGCCAGCAACCTCTAAAAGAAGAGAATTTTCCACTTTTACTGATACGAATGAACAAAGATCAAAGGAAGAGACCTAGTGAAAACATTAGCTCTCCGTTGAAAGCCTGGAGGGTTACACAGTAGGAGAAAGGTGAACTAGAAGTACACTGAGCCTTATCAGATTTAACAAGTCTTAAATCAGCTCAAACCCTAACTGAGCTGATCAGCCGCCTCATCTCTACTTGCCTAGCAATGACAAAAAGGTTAGGGTGATCTGTGTATCTGCCAGTCAGAAAAAAATATCCTCTTGGAAGAAGATAACATTATCCAGAGCAATAGTAACAGGCCCAAAGTGATTCAGACATTGGTGTTATCAGATCGGGGCTATAAAATACCTAGGATCAATGTATTAAAGTAAAGGAGGATAGATGGTGAATTTCAATAGAGAATGCACCTGAATCTATTAGTAAGAATCTAGAACTAAAAGAGAGAGCAACTGAAATTATTAATTCAATAAATGGGTTTAATGGAAAATTAGACATAGTCAAACAGATTTGTGAACTGGAAGACAGAACAGTAGAAAGTATACAGTTTGAATGTCAGCAAGAAGATAAGATGGAAAATAAAGAAAAGAGCATAAGAGATGTGTGGGGCATGGTAAAAAGAGGGGCATACCTGTAGTCAGAATCCCAAAGGGAGAGGAGAGAGAGGACTAAAACAGAACCAATATTCCAAGAAATATTGGCAGAGAAATTTAAGAAAGTGACTGAAGACATCAAACTACAGATTCAAGAAATTTAGCAACCCCTACTCATAATATTTTAGGCCATGACATTAAAACTTCTGTAAAGCAAAGACCAAGAGAAAATTTTAAAAACAGAGATTGCAAATACATACATTACCTGTAAAGGAGGAAAAAATAAGAATAATGGCTAACATGTCACAAGAACAAAACCTAGAAGAGAATAAAATATCTTTAAAATGCTGAAAGGGAAGAAGAAATGTTCTATTCTAGAATTCTTGACTTAGTAGAAATATGCTTTAAAAAGGAAGGGGAATAAAATCCTTTTCAGACATAGAAGTAAAATAAATAAATAAGCTTCTTTTCAGGTAAACATTCAAATGCCCCAACTTGGCACATAAGTTACAATATACAAACCTAAAAGAAATATGCAGACAAGAACAATGAGATCTCAGAAATAAATCTATGGATAAATGAATAAGGAGGCCTTAATGGCACCCTGGTGTTAAATAAAACCCGGGAACCTCAGTATAACCCAGGAGATGGGAGGAAACCTTTTGCAATAAGAATTTCTTGTGTAAAAATTGGGTAATGTAAGATATATCAAAAGCTGGAAAAATCAGCAGAAATAGAGTTAAGTATCAATTTTTCAAGGAAAAAAATGTAATTTTGGAAATAATTGAAGAAATTCCAAAGAAATAAAGCAATTTAATTGCTTAAAAGTTGAAACCTACAAAAATAACTCTAAATAAAGGCAAAAATTATAATATTTGCAACAAATGTGAAAAATCATATAAAATATAATATAACATAAAATACGAAACACAATTTGGAACCAGCCCTGATGGCTTGGTGGTTAAAGTTGGACACACTTGCTTCAGTGGCCTGTGTGTGGTTCCTGGTTGCAGAACCACACCACTCGTCTGTCAGTAGCCATGCTGTGGCAGCGGTTCACACAGAAGAACTAGCAGGACTTACAACTAGAATATACAACTATGTACTGGGGATTTGGGGAGGAAAGAAAAATAAAGAGGAAGATTGGCAACAGATGTTAGCTTAGAGTGAATTTTTCCCAGCCAAAAAAAAAAAAAAAATCCCCCAAAAAAAAAAAAACCCCAACAATTTGAATAAGAAACTTTAAGCTTCCCATCCATGCACAAAATTCATAAAAGAAAGTCAAATAAGTTTATAATTGGGCAATTTCAGCCTGCATCAAATTAACACATAGCCCAACACCTCTCAAATTTATTAAAATTTCCATAAAAGTAAATTAGAATTGTAATTCTCAGTGCTGCCAAAATGATGATAAAATAGTGCTAATGGCAAAATAAATTATTATTGCTTTACAATGCAATTTTGTAGGATGTGTCTAGGTCCATATAGTTTATAACTTTTGATCTCCTAAACCCGTTTTGGGGAAAGTGTTCCAATAAACTCTTCCAAGAATTTAAGAGAAAAACTATATATATTGTATATTCATTCCAAAATAACTTATTAAGCAAAAAATATTTCGATAATAAATGACTATTTAAATTAGCACACATCTATATGATAGATGGATATTATATATTCATTTAAAATTATTCCTTTGAACTCTAAAAATATTAAGACAAATGAATAATATTGATATACCAGGAAATTAAAGAAAGTTAAAAAATATACGTCCACTATCTGCAAGTGCCAAAATGTATACATTTGAGTAGGCAAGAACTGGGAAGGAAAGAACAAAAATGGAAGTACTTATTTTGTTAAGATGATAGGCTTCTTAGCAATGTGGTATTTTTCTCTTACAAAGTGTCTGTAATACTATAGATTTTTACACTCAGCAGAGAAACAGGAATTCACATGTAGCTTTTGTGTTGTGAGGTTGATGTTGCCTATGGTTTCAGAGTTCTATTTTTTTCTCTTTTGAAAATAAAGTAACCTTCGCCCCTAACCTTTTAAGAACTTTCTAATTTTCTATGGCTTTTGCAAGATTACAGATTGCATTTCGACAATGACACCTCCGAGGTCTTTCTATTCTCTGGGAAGAAATTATTTTAATCGTGAATCTACTAAAAGTGGCCACACGGTCCTCAATCCTTTTCTCTCTAATCTAAATTCCTTATCCCTCTTACTGATTTTCGAAGTATCTTTTTCAGCTTGAGCTCCATTCTCCTGGAAGCAAAATACTATTTATGTAGTTTTGCCTTTTCCCTGCCATCCGATAACATTGTATCATTACCCTCAACTAGTCACCTTCCACATTCATCTTCTTGTTCCAAATATAGCTTGAAAAGCCCTTTTTGTTTTCTTGGGCCTGAACCTTCCTGATTCTATTGTTATCAGGTTCTGAGAAGCTACCTTCCAGATTTTGCACCCCTCCATTCATTGTTGGTGTGTATACTTTTAAAATTTAAATTTCTTCTAAAGAGATTTGCATAGGCACCTTGAATTTGTTCGGTGTCTCTCCTCTTTTTACTTATCCTTAGATCGTTTCACTTAAGGGAGCTTCCTAACATTTCTGACCTGTTTTGTTTTCTTAATAACATTCCAGGCTTTGATATCAGATCTAAAGTTTTTGGAAGGACATTCAGTAGACAAAGAAGAGAATGGGAAATATGACAATTTTTAATTCAAAACAGTTTCCTGAAAGACATGCCAATGAGCAGTAAAAATACGGCTCTATTCACAGCACAGTAATAATTGAAAAGGCAAAGACTTTTCTTACCAACTATTTTTTTATGACTCTGAGACACAGCACTGCACAGGTACACATAAAGGTGATAGAAAACGTGCAATGGCATCATGATACTACAGAATTCTATGGTCTTTTCCCAAGTCACTTATTTCTAATTGCATTCGAACTCCTGAATAGTCTTCTAAGGCAGTGAAACCTGTTTATTCTGGTGAAGCTTACCAACTTCTTCTCTATCATGTGTCTACAAATCAGGCTGATTAAAAGAAAAATAATGATACTATGACTATTATTTTATTTGGAAATGCTTAATATTCTAAAAAAAAACACCTTTTGTTTACTGGAAATGTTCATGTTGTCTCAGTCCATTCAAAGAGCAGTGAATGGATAAAGTAAGGCTTTTTTCTGTCTGCCTCCCACATTTTTGTCTTCCTTCAGTAAATGCCCAGTTCAAAACAATAGACTTGCCTGAGTATAACAAATTTCTCCTAATTTTGATATTTAGAGAGCTTATTCCCAAGGAATATTTTCCAACATTTTCTGCTTTTAATATAAATTCATTGAAGTGAACACTTATGTAATAATGTGTATTTCCGAATATAAAATATTTTTTATTGGAGGGATTTCATGATAAGTTTGATTGCTTTATAGGGAATTCAATCTATGATAACATCCAAAATTAAATATAACATGAGTTCAACATAAAACCTTAAGTGGAATTTAGTGGTTTAGTGCTATGCCTTCTGCTGAAAATATAGTCAGTCATGGAATAAGTCCCACCCCTCTGCCAAGATTCCAACCTAAATTTGGTTTCTCTGTTGATTAGAGAGATTATTTCCCCCTTGTAAGTTTGTAGACAAGGAAGTGAGTGTCTGGGTTACATTGTGTTACTAATTAAGAGAGCATTGAGATGCTTTATGTGAAAGTTACAAGTCAAGGGAGCCTCATTGTCAAAGAGATGATGGATGATAGAATGGCATTCTAAGAGTTAAACATAGATAGGTAAAGACACAGACACAGACAGTCACTTGAAAGAAGACCATATATATGTATTTCTATAGACATTTATCTAGCTATAACTATAAAAGATATTAATATCCTAGTGCTTAGACAATTCTCATATTCCTAAAGCAATTGAGGGACAATCATCTGTGAGGACGTGTAAGTCACCTGAGAACACTAACAGGGACTACTTTTCATCGTGGTCCAAGGAATAAACAAGGGTAAAAATTGTCTGCCCTTTACCAAATTATTACCCAAATTTTAGGTGCCATTGCAAAATATTCAATAACCACTTCGTTTTTTCCGTTACCCTAAGGGAGGGAAGAGAACTGAGCGGGGAACTTCATGCCTATCAAAGGAACCGAGGGAAACGAGGAGGGAGGGAGGAGAGAACTGCTCACCTCTCCTTAGGAGCTTTCTGAGGTTTTACTAAGTGAAGAAAGGCTTATGAAGGCTGCTGACACAAAAAGAGGAAAAAGGCACATCAGAGAACAAGAGTGGACCTCTCCACTTACCCAGCTCTGCAACTTCCTGGTGCAGTGTTGAATGGCCTGTTTATGGTCGCAGTGGCAACAAGCTGGCACCAGAATGACGATTTAGTCTGACTCAAAGGCTGATCCCCAAGGTGTGGCAATTGTTGTTTCTAGGTGATTAATTTTCCTATAACGTTTCTTAATTCTTTTAACACTCCTAACCTCCAAAGTTGGGTTAATGTTACCTGATGCAGAGTTGAAGATGCCTCAATCTTGTATTGCTTCATCAACAGTCTACTATTTGTTTTTACTCATTCTTTCGGTTTGAGACATGTGGAGTTCATAAATAGATTCATAGTATCTTATGGGAAAATGAGGCTTCAAGAACTGATGTACTTCAATTTAATCTCTTTAGAGAAGAGGGAATCTTGTCCCAGCCTGGCAACCAACTTATCATGACCTGGCTTAGCAGATCTAACCTGAAAGATAATTGACTGAACCTGAGGATGACAGTTTAATGGCAAGCAGGGTAGGCGGTAACAGGGTGGTGGTAGATTTAGACTTGATACCCTGCCAAAGGAGACTAGACATGAGTTTGATACTACCTGTTGGGGATCTTGGGCAGCCAACAAAAGTACGTGAACTCAGGTTGATAAGGCTGGGAGTAGAGCTCGATTCTCTTGACTCTCAGTCCAGATTTCTCTGTACAATGCCACATTGCCTTCATTCTCTTCAGCAGATGCCCAATGATTTGAATTTTATTCTATGGTCTCAAAACAACCATTAACTGTGAACAATAACCACAGTTTTCATTTCTCTCTTTTGTCAAAATTCAAAAGACCAATAGAGAGTTGTACAATGGTTATGATGGTCTTCATACCTCTAACCAATTTATGTCAGCTTAGAACCCAGAAGTGGTCCATATAGGGTAAGGTAGCAGGAGAAAGTCAATCTGCAGTGTCATTGTGGTAGATAAAGATTTAAGTTTAGCTTGGGCTGAGTTCATTTGCATAGACGGGAAAATTTTCTGCTTGCACATGATACTTTGACTCTTTGTGGGGAGAAGGGGCATTTTTGGGGTGCTTGAGGAATTGACATGCACGTGTTATCTAAGCTGCCTAAAATGTTATTTTATTTGAACAAGAAAGTAAAGAAGAGTGGCCATTAAGGTGCAGATATCTTGCTCTTATTTCCCATTGCTGACACCAAAGCCAATGTTTACTACCCTTTGGGAGTATATTCCATAATGTAAGAAGTTATTGTTTAAACTTTGGGTTCTCATTTCCTGAGGGATCTTACAGATTAGGTGCTCATGTGTCTATGAGAGTTGTTGAGAGAAAAGGAATCCTCTTGAGGTCTGTCACTTTGTGGGATGCTGAAAATGCCTTCCCATACATTTTACAAATGGATGTTGCTACTGCTGTCACAATATCTATGAAAGATCAGAAAATAAGAGCTCCTCCTTGACTGTGTAAAATGTTTTAATTATCAAAGTAATAGAAGTTCATTGTAGGAGGAAGAAAAAACCCACAACAAGACAGAGGGTATAAAATGAAACACAGCAGGTCTAGCTAGACTTTCTCACAAGTAAATTTTTATATATAAATGAGATTATATCATACATGTTGTATTTCCACTTGCTTTCCCCTACACCTCCACTTTTTAATATATTCTGGCCATTTTCCATTCAATACATGTAGATCTATCTCAATGTTAACAGCTCTCCAATAGTCCCATTGTATATTTGTACCATAAATTCAGCAATATATTTTAGCCAATACCTTATTGATGGAATGTGTTTTCTTCCAATTCTCTTAATTACCAAAAGACTTTAGTGAATGTCCTTTCAGGGGCCTTCACTGACTAAAGTGGGTATAGACTGGTCACAAATGAAGTGAGGCAGAAAGCAACAATGACCAAATGCAATGATCTCTCAACATTTGAGTGAATATTTCCAAAAACAAGCTTATATTCAGATTTGAGAATGGGATAAGTTTTGTAGATGGCAAAGAATTCAGACAGCTCTCTTCTCTACTAAAGAACTAAACCAATTTCAGCAGAGAAGGAATAACAGAAATAATGAATTGCTAAGCAACAGAGATCCTGTTTACATGCAAATATTGGTGGTAATAACAAAAAAGAAACAGAGTACAAGAATAACACAGGAACTATGACCTGAAAGCAAAATTGCCTATAATAAAATATTTGGGTTTTGTTTTGGAGTGATGTGGTTTTCCACAACAAGTCAACTGCTATTTACGTTGACACCATCTGAATTAATCTGCCCCATAACTAACCCGACATTTAGCAATTGGCCATCTGTCTAGGAAGGAAGTTAATTCTGATAAAGACAAAGTCCAAAAAGGTGTTTGTGTATCAGCTTATCTTTTTAAAGGCTATTAAAAAGAAGGCCAGCTTTGTGGTGCTTCAGACCCTTCTCATTAACCCTCAAAATCTAAGAAATACTGGAGCACTAAATATTTCTACTAAGATGTTGGCCCTTTAAACTATATTGCTTTATTCTTTTTACTAGAGTGGACTTTTTACCCTCCACTGGAATGTACAGAGGCCTAAGTCACTTATCCTAAATAAATTTACATATTAATGTCAGAATAGATATACTCTTGTGATCTAAGACAATTACATGGGACTCTAATATCGGATGCTGCTGCTGCTGAGAAAGAACATTAGAGGGATCTTTACGCAAAGTAACAGCTCTGTGCCAGTCTAGAACCTTGAGGTCAGCTAGTTTTGATTCAATTCACACTTGAATTTTTAAATCTTTAACAGTATTTCTGTTCTCCAATCCCCAGCATAATGAAAACTTCTTGAAGGAAAAAAAGATAAACTTAAAAAAATTATTTTTTATCTATTATATTGCCATGCTTTGTAAATTATTGGTATATAGTAAATTTTTGTTCAGTGAATCTCCAGTTTATTGTCTAACCTCCTAGTGCACTAAATATGCTATGTCTCATTCATAGATTTGGTCATATACTCAATAACTAGTTATTGACCACCTACTATGTGCCAGGCAATGTGTGAGGAGTTGCTCACGGATGAATCTAAGATTTTATTGGAGAGGACAGATAATCAAATGATAATTGTCCATGAATGAGTGTTAATGACAAGGTACTATGCAAACATGCAACAGACATCTCAGGAAGAAAGAGCTATATAGGCCAAGATCTCAGGGATGCGTAGTAGTTATTCAGGCAAAAAGGGTGGGAGGTGGAGTGGCAAAAGCACTGCACACAAATTTAAATTGTGTGTGCAAAGTCCAAAGAATGAGAGAGCATGACACCTTGAGAAACAGAGAGAAGTTGAGCACGGTTAAAATTTAGAGAATGGGGTGGGAAGGGGTAGACCAGGGTATTGACTGCTTTGTAAGTCGTTTTTCTTTTGAAAATGACAATGGATACTTCTTTATGTTTCAATTATACTTAGTTTTTTTTAAAAAAATAAGATGCACTTATTGATTCATAAACCCAGAGAGAACAATTATGGCCAGATTCAGGGATATATATATATATATATATATATATATATATATATATATATGTATATAAAATTAAGACTTTATTATTTTGAGTGGTTTTACGTTCACAGCAAAATTGAGGGGAAGTTACAGAGATTTCTCATATGCCCTCTGCCCTCATTCATGCATAACCTCCCCCATTATCAACATCCCCCACCAGAATGATACATTTGTTACAAGTGGTGAACCTACACTGAAACATCATAATCACTCAAAGTCCATAGATTACATTACAGTTCACTGCTGGTGTTATATATTCTATGAGTTTGGATAAATGTGTCCTTTTTTATGGTATCATATAGAGTATTTTCACAGCCCTAAAAATTCTCTGTGCTCTGCATATTTATCTTTCCCCCACCCCAACCTCGGACAACCACCGATCTTTTTATTGTCTCCATAGTTTTGCCTTTTCCAGAAGGTCATGTGGTTAAAATCATACAGTATGTAACCTTCTCAGACTGACTTCTTTCACTTAGCAATATGCATTTAAGTTTGCTTCACGTCTTTTCATGGCTTGTTAGCTCATTTCTTTGTAGCTCTGAATGACATTCTTTTGCCAGGATGTACCAGAGTTTATTTATCCACTCACCTACAGAAGGACATCTGGGTACCTTTCAAGTTTTGACAATTATGAATATTCATATGCAGGCTTTTGTGTGTGTGTGTGTGTGTGTGTGTCGACATAAGTTTTCAACTCCTTTGGGTAAATACCAATTAGTACGATTGCTGGATCATATGGGAAGAATGTGTTTAGTTTTGTGGCAGACTTCTAAAGTGGCTGTACTACTTTGCATGCCACCAGCAATCAATAAGGGTTCCTGCTGTTTCACATCCTTGACAGCACTTGATGTTGTCAGTGTTCTGAATTTTGACCATTCTAATAGATGTGTAGTGGTATCTCATTGTTGCTTTAATTTGCATTTCTCTGATGACATATGATGTGGAACATCTCTTCGTATGACTATTTGCCATCTCTATGTCTTCTTTGGTGAGGTGTCTTTTGAAATTTTTGGTCTATTTTTAATTGTTTTTTTTTCCTATTATTGAGGTTTAAGTGTTCTTTGCATATTTCAGATAACAGTCCTTTATCAGATGTGCATATTTAGTGTTTTAAATTTGCTCTTTCCTTTTTTAATCATAACTTTATAAAATTTTCCTCACGATCAGTCCTACCTGGATGTCACAGCTCTAGTTTCCTTCGTAGAGACATCCCTAATAGAAATCACAATCCTCCTGCTTCAATTCAGACTGGACTTTCCTCAGGCCTATGGCACAGCTTTCATCCTGGCACTTTTCCTAAATGTGATTTTTATCACTCATAGACTTTCTCTTACTTCTCATCTATGTTAGATGAACACACTCACTCACTTTCTTGATAAAGTCTCTTGTTTTGACGGATCATATTTCCAGCAATTTTTCATAAAAGTAGTACTGGAAGTTAGGCTTTTGTTCTTAAAAATTTTTTTTGCTTTTAGATTTTTTTATACGTGAAAA